ATACATGTGCATACGCTGCATGCACACCTGTATACACAGGTGTACCTGCACACCCATACAAACATTTTTTGAAAACCTCTGTCCTCAACTACATGTCCCTATCCAGCCTCGTCACTACAACACCGCTCGCCCTCCAGCTCTGCCATGCTCTGTCCTGCCCTTATCTTACATCCTGGGGCCCTCAGAGACCTTGTGACCAGGAGGCTAACATATCCTCAGACAGGATCATCACCTGGGAGCTATGCAGGCTTCATAAAGCACACTCCTGACTTTGTAGTGAAAGTGGAAAAGGCTGTCTCAGCTAAATTCTGATTTGTTTTCAGATTTTATGAAGAATTCCCAATTAACCTGAAGACTGGGGAAGCCAATCTCACCCAGCTCTACTTACAGGTGAGGCTGAGTGGCCCAGGAAGGGAGGTGGGAAGGTGAGTTGGCCTTTGGCAGAAGAGAACAAAGGCCTTCCCCACAGGAAGCCCTGGACTTCATCCAGACACAGCATGCGAGACGGAGCCCCTTCTTCCTGTACTGGGCCATCGATGCCACTCACGCACCTGTTTATGCCTCAAGACCTTTCTTGGGTACTAGCCAGCGAGGACGGTGAGTCCTAGGCCCCACTGGGACCTTCAGCTATGCTGATTACCACGGGGTGGGTACTCAGAGCCATTATGGAAAGTCTAAAGCAGATGGGATGTTTCTCGGGTAAAGGGATTCTCAATATGCAGAAGACCCTGGGTTCAGTTCCCAGCATCACAAAGAAAGAAAGCTGCAGAACATTCATGCCTTTGAAACCACCTCCAGCCTGGAATCAGTGATGAGAAGAGGCCTGCAGGAGTCAGACTGGCTCTGTCCACAATGAACCCTTTGAACTTGAGCAGGAACTTCCTTGTCCTCTTATTAGAAGCAGCTAACCTTCTCATTGTCTCTGAAGTGACAATTAATGGGCTGTTTGTGTCACATGAATGACCTTGGCTGTCACTTCCCCTTCAGGTACGGGGATGCTGTTCGGGAAATTGATGACAGTATTGGGAAAATCCTGAGCCTTCTGCAGAACCTGGGCATTGGGGAGAACACATTTGTCTTCTTCACATCTGATAATGGTGCGGCCCTCATTTCTGCTCCCAAAGAAGGCAAGTGTTGGCTCTTTTCCTCAGGCCCAAGGGTAGTGGCTGGAAGGCTCACAGACTGAGGCTTCCCAGGGTAGAGCATCCAGCAGCAAGGCCCTGACTGTGCCCACCCAGAACCGGCCTGACTTCAAGGATGAAACCCAGCATGGCC